AAGCTTGTGTTGAACACTTTTCATCAAGGTGCCACTAGCCTGTGCGAAATCTTACTACTTTACTGCGACTCTTGGTTGGTGATGTTGGCAACTAAACAGCTGTTGAAAAACTGCATATAACCTAAGTTACGCTTACTCAAAAACACATTCTGCGAATAACCTCAACAAACAAACAACGAGAACGGATTGCAACGCAACGATTGCAACTGCAACAAGGAAGAAACAAACAAAGGTCTTATCGTATTGTTTTGTGGACATTATTTCGCTTCAGAGAGTAAAGATGACGAACCCTCCAAAGTCTTTTAAGGAGAAGAAAACTTTCGGTGAGTTCTTTTATATCCTGTAGTTAGCTATTGGTTGGTGAGTTTCCAAATCACTTGCGAAAGGGGAAAATATAATGTTGTTTTCTGCGCCAGTTTTCTTGTTAATGCGTCATAGCTCTACTTATCAGTGTCATTGTTTGATTTCTTTCGAAAATGGTCATTGAGGAAGTCAGTGTTTAAAATAAACTATTGTTCATCCCGTCTTACTCTGAATGTTTTTAATTGTTTACTGTATGTCACAAGCAACCATTCTGCATTCAGAAGTTGGTTAGTCCACTCCATATTTACCCCTCTGACCTTTTGAAAAGTGATATTTTCATCAACAACATTTCCACATTTTCACTTTTATTTTGATCTTCTACAAATAATTTACTGGGAAAGTTATGAACAAAACTGTTCTACTGACTTACACTCCAACATCGGTTTTACTTTCTACAGCACAGCGAGTTAAAGATGTCCAAAAAGTCAGGGAAAAGTACCCTAACAAAATACCAATTATAGTTGAGAGATTTAAAAAGGAAAAGCAGCTTCCTTTGTTGTCTCGCTCAAAATTTTTGGTACCAGACCATGTCCCAGTTGGGTACATTATCACCCAAATCAGGTAGGCCATGTTGACTTTCTGTGTTCTTGGTATCACCCCCCATAACTGAAGATCATTGTATATTACTGTTCGTTTTCTTGCAGGCGAATGCTGAACTTAAATCCCACACAAGCTGTCTTCCTTTTGGTTAATCAAAGAAGCATGGCAAGCCATTCTATGTCAATGTTTCAACTGTACAACCAGGAGAAGGACCCCGATGGTTTTCTTTATATTGTCTATGCATCTCAAGAAACTTTCGGCTGATGAAACTTTCTTCTCAACTTTTCTCCATTAAGTTTCTTTGTTTTTTTGTTATTTTTTTAAATTAATTTTTATTTTTACTTTATTCCATTGACCTGAAATTTTACATAGGATAAATTTGTATTTTCATGAACTTCATCTTCTACCAAATATAGATGACCCAGGTATTTACCATTGTTTTGTTTTTTTGTTGTTTTTTTTTCCATGGCAGCCAAATCTTTTAAATATCTAAGTATCTACAACCTATGGTTCCAATTGTAGAATTTAGAGTGGTTTGTTTAGTCAATTGTTGAAGTTGAAACCCAAACCTTCTAAGCTTTAGTAGTCTTTTTTCTTTGTTTATTTTTTTATCTAGAAGAAAAAAAATGCTGTGTTTTGCTTTATACCAATTTGATATACATTTTGTTTATCAGAATGATGGTCAATGTTGAAATTCTCAATCTCTCAAACATGAATTTTATCTACAGGTACCTTCCATGATACCATGTGGAAATCCTTGCATTGTGCTGAAACATGCACATGTGCTCCCTTCTTCTACTTTCAGAACATTATTATTATTGACCTCACTTAAAGTAGTTGTAAATACTACTTCCAGAAGTTGTAATTATATGTGTATTAAATTTTGTAGTAGTTAAGGCTAGTGAAAATGATAAAGTATTTTAGGAATGGTGATTCTGTGAATCTGTCAAGATGAATTTGCCTCTCTTTATGCTTGCTGTAAATCCACAAGTTTCTGGGCTAGGCCTGTATTTTCACTTATCTCTTCATTATTGTTTATGACTCTTTTAAACTAAACAATATTTCAAATTATTTTACTAGGCAAGTCCTTTCCTTTGTCTTCAAAACCCACTTGTTTTGGGCATGTGTAATATTTAAAAAATAATTTACAGCAATTGTTGCAATATTAAATTTTTAGTTCTGTTAAAAAGCTCTAAAAATGTCTTCAAAGTGATATGTACAAACTAAGTCAGTTTATAATAAAAAGTAAAAAAAAAAAATCGTTTGACCTATTACCAAAAGATTGAATTCAAATGCACATGTGAATCAAGAGTGGTTTACTTCATTTCTAAGGTACAATACTATGTCAGCTTAATGAAGAGACACAAAGTGCTTAAATTACAGTAAAATCATGTAGCTCATTACACATACCAAGTTTTGTCTCCTGTGTATGCGGAGGACAGAAAACATACAAAATAACTAAGAGAATAACATAAGAACTTCTGAGAGACAGAATGCCCAAAACTTACCATGAGCATGATCCTGAACCATTTTACATTTAAAAACTTACAATATGTTATGGTAGTTACAAAGACTTGAAAAATCACACATTTAAAGAGTTAAAAGAGACAATAAAATAGTCATGCTCACAAAAAAATCCATTGACGTGACTGTTCTTCAAGGCTCGACAAATAAAATTCAATCAAAGTTATTTTGTACATCCCCTTGAAAACCAAACTAAACCGCCCAGGCAAATGCTCATTTAACTAACAGATAAAGTCTAATTTCAACAATCTCTATTGCACAATACTCAAGATACTGAGGAGCTAAATAAACCCTCCCCAGTAACTTGAAATGATAAAACTCTCTATACCAAAGTGGTACTTTTTAAATTTATGAGAACACATCGAATCCAGAACCATGGATATTAGCTACTAGAAATTCTCTCAATGCATTGTCAATGAAAAAATATGAACTACAAAAAAACAAAAAGAGGACTTCGTCACATTAGCTGCATTATGGAGGAGTCTTGATTGATTTTCAGTTGGTCAGAAAAGAAAGATTCCAAACAATGGGCCATTCTTTATGTACACACACATACCAGAACACACATTGTACACATAACATTGAAAAAATTCCTTGAAATTAGGCGTCATTGAAACGATTAAGTTTCAAAGTCATGTTAGGTGGGATCAAAAATATTTACCAAAAGCCAAGTTAATTGTTCACAATTTGCACGAAATTCATAATTAAATGTCCAATTTCTCTCGGAAAGAGAGTGAAAGTAACACAATAAAGGAAAGTAATATAAAATGAAGCGATGAATCAAAATGCAATTACTTATAAAATACTCTATTATGTTTGTGAGAAAATGTGACAAAAGAAAATATATATTTTCAATCCATCTGAAAGTAGATTCGTTCTATTTTGTCTATATAATTTCGTTCAGGCACTGAATACACAAACATGCTTACATGCACACACGCTCTCTCACACACTCACATACTGAATATTCACACACACAGATCACTAATACCCAGATGGACATGTGTACTTGTGTACCAAGATTTTATCAAGAGGATTGTCAGAATCCCTGAAATAATATACATCTAAAACCAATTGCAATTCATCTCTGATCAAATTAAATCTTTGACACAAAACACCATAGGGTGTGGAGCAATGTAAACTTCAGTCTGTGTTGTACATAGATGTCCAGATATAAACACAAACTAATAATAAACTTCTTAAGTCTCTCTTACACAGGTAGAAATATACTTGTCTTTGTCCCTTCACTCTAAAAACGTGTGCGAATGTATATGGCAGACACATCATGATCACCATAGCCAAGCCGTTTGGCGTGTTTGTACACCTCATTCACCGACGCAGTGATGGGGAGAGGATGATCCAAAGTGTCGCCCATACCTAGAGCTAACTTCAGATCCTTTGCCATATGCTGAAGAGCCTGATGGGTCGGGAAACCTCCATCGATAATGGCTGAAAATTAACATGCAATTAATGGCATTGATATTTTGTTTCTTAAACTAACATGAACGTATTGACACACAAACAACTCAAAGATGGCTTACCATTTCCCTTTTCATAAATGAGAGGGCAATTCAGGTTTGTCAAGGAGAGAATCTCCATGACATCCTTCTGTTGCAATCCAGCTCTATCAGCTAAGGCCATCCCTTCTGCTAGACCAGAGAGGCAAACTCCTGTCATCAGCTGGAGCACTAAATTCATTTTAGAGGCATTGCCAACATCCCCTGTAAAATATTGAAATGTTGTAGAAAAGATCAAATGACTATACAAATCACCACTAAACTGACAAATATGCTGTGATTTAACTAACCAAGGAAAAATGAATTTTTCCCCATAGCCTCAAAACAGGATTGACAGTCATCAAACAATGAACGATCTCCTGCAGCCAAAACAACTAATGTGCCATCTTCAGCTTGCAATTTACTACCCTGCACTTGGGCCTCAAGATAGCGTCCACCTTTGGTCATTATAGCCTGTAAAGTTAAGTCACAGTTAGAACTAGACAATCATCAATTGGAAAGCATAAATGTGTTGTTACATAAAATAAAATAATTACCTCAGAAATATCCTTTGATGTTTCAGCGTCAATATTTGTCATCTCAACATAGCCCTTGCTTTGGCCCATCTCTAACAGCACACCACAATTGCCAAACACCATCTGAATTAAAATATTCACCAATAAGCAAAAATAAGAGAATAAAGTGCCTTAACAAAAGAAGGTAACAAAATATTTAAAATCACAACTTACATCCTTAGCAGCTTGCGGGTTTGCCACACATGAGAAGGTGATGTCAGCTGCTTGAATGACATCAGAGGGAGTGAGACCATGAGCAGCTCCCACTTTCACAAATTCGTCACACTGAAACAAAACAGGGACAAATTGTAAGTCGCAATTGCAGTGCGGTAGGCCAAAATCAATTGCACTGGTTGTAAACACATCAAATTGTTGTATACCTTTTTATGTGCAGCTTACAAAAAATTCTGCACCTGCTATTCTAGCGTGCTTTTTGTAGGCAACTATGAACAAATTGCACGCAAATATGAACAATTTGTTCATAATTGTGTATTAAAAAATATGTAAGAGCAGCAGGTGCAGAACTTTTTTGTAAGCTGCATATTAAAGAGTGCACAAAAATTCAGTGTGTAGCATACAAGTATGTGGACGTCGAATCTAAAGAAGTTTAACACCATCAGTGCGGCACGGTTGCTATGCCTGTGTTAAAATGCGCGGGAAACGAGGCGCTCCCTCACCAATAGGGTTGCAACCGCTCGATGGGAGAAAATGTGATTACACAGGAAATCTAATCCATTTGTAGAGGGTTGCCATGAAATTCAGAAATTTGTTCATGATATTTTCCTGACAAAACCCTGACGAAAAATTACACTTTTTCCTGACGCTGGCTAGCGGTAAGGCGACTGGCACTTCAACTAATGTTCCTGTCCTGACACTTTTACTCCAAAACCCTTGACATTTAGCTAATTCTCATGACGCGAGGAAAACCTATTCCTGTTATATTTAAAGTGAATTCACGCGTCTCCGGGGGAGGGGTGAGGGCGGGGTAGAGCTACTCTGTCGTGCGCGTCACCTGGCCAGCAGGGTTCGACCGCCAGGGGTAAAGGGAAAGCCTCCGCTACGACCGCGAAGGGCGTGTTCGCTCCTTTTGACCTTTGGTGCCCTGCACGGAGCGGTTCACGGCGAAAGCACGGCCAAAGATCGAACGCCCCACCTACCAAAGTGAACGACCCTAAGGCACGGCCGGGCAGGGGCCTCCCCGACCTAATGGCAAGAGGCCCCAAACAACGCCCCTCGGCTCGTCACCTGTCCGACACGCCTGCCAACGCCCCACCCCACAAGAAATAGCATCCTTGGATTATTTGTCTTTAACCACATTTTTGCGACATCGCATCGCATCTGACACCGGCAGGGTGGATGATTTGCGGAAACCCTTTTTCTGGTTACAGTACACTGTACCGAGTCCCGAGTGAGTATGCAACCCGTCTGTACGCGTAAATGACAGAATACAGAATACACTTCTTTCCTTGACAATATCAGGTACTGTTATTAACATATTCGCGCCAAAATTTTTCCCCTAGACCTCTGACGAAATTAACCCGACTTCTCCATGACTTATTCCGACCACCAGATTTCCAATTAACTGAATGTTCCGCGACTTCCCTGACCTACCCTGATAGAGTGTGCAATTTTTGAGAGACAAAACTCACAATAATAACCAATGGCCCGTAAACTTTACTTAACCATAAAATTTATTTTCGTAGTACCCGTATGAAAATACCGTTGTTTCCCGTACCATTGCACCAATTCATCCACAGCAAGAAACAAAACCCTTCGGAAGGAATCAGAGCGCGCGCGTGTGTGTGTGTATCATGAAGGGGGGGGGGGGGGGAACCAGAAGACAAAAGGCTCAGCCCAGCCCTGTCCCGTTCGGGACGAATCGATATCATCGATACCGGCGAGGTGAGGCAGGTGAGCAGGGCGCGACGGCGGCGGGGCCACGGCGGGGCCGCGGCGGGACACCGCGTCGGGTCGGTCACATCGACCACCGAGCGCCCCCCCGCGAGCGCCTGCCCGCGCGCCCGCCCCGTCAACAGGCTCGGTGGCTCTCGGTCAAGCGCGAGGCGAGGCGCGGGGCGGTCCGACGGACATACGTACCCACGATACTCCACAGCGCGCCCGCGCTCCGGGCGTGTGTGTGTGTGTATGTGTGTGTGGAGGAGGGGGGGGGGGCAGAGATTACGCAATATACGTGCACGGCGGCGTACACCTGTTTCATCGAAAAACAAGCACCGCTGCGCGATGATAACGAACGGCCCCCCGGCCACCCACCCAGCCCGGACACAGAACACACCACCAGACAGGAGAGGGGTGCACCTCGCTCGCTCGCTCGCGTAGGGTGGACCCTGCCCGCGGAGACAGCCCCCCCCCCCCCCCAAACCACTCAGGACGCATAATACAACGCGGTGCCGCGGGAAAACTCCACGACAATCAACGGTCGCTTTGTCCGCCCGCGGCCGCAGCGCGAGGCGACGCGAGGACGAATTTTTTAAGTTTCCAGTGTGAGCGTGGCGAGCCGAGCCTAGCCGGGGGACAGTAGTAGCGTCGCCTGCAGCAGATTGCCTCCTCGGCCGCGACGGCGACGGCCCGGCCGCGCTTCGCTTCATAAGAGCACAGCAGTCGGCGTGGTGGGCCCGGGGGCCCGGGACCAGCAGAGAAGGGTTGTGTGATGTGGTGCCAGCTGGCAGTGTGAGGGGGAGGGGGGGGGGGCGTAGCAGCCGGCGCGAACTGGTACTGGGAGCTCCCGCTGCTGGGTGCGGTATGG